AGCACTGAGCATTTCCTGCAAGGTTAAATCCTGCCTCACAGATCTTTTCGTCAAGGAAAAACAAATGATCTCTCTCTCTCCAAGCACAATGTGCTAACCCATCATCTGCCCAGAAAATAAATGGCAAATATAATGCAACCAATAGTATTTTCTGTTTGTCTATCTTGTGAACGCTAATCTCCCATGAACGGGTGGGCGGGGAGTACTGACCAGCATGACAGCTTAACACGCCTGTACCAGCCCCAGGCACACAGCGGCAAAACAAGCTGCGTAACCTCAGTCAGCTCAGGTGAGGAATAAATCTGTCTGGCAATTTGGCATTATCTACCTGCCAAGACTGTTTGCCTAACTTCTTTAGTCATTAGCTACTTCATTTGGCCTTATATAAAGTTAGCATCTTTCACTCTGCAGCACACTTATTCATTAATTCATCTATTAGGAATTAATAGATGCAAATATTTCTTATGCATCTATCAGCTGCTATGTGGTAGTATAGTCTCTGGGCGTGTAGCGGTGAATGAACAAAATCCCTATCCTCATGGAGCCCACTTTCTGGTGAACTTACATTCTGCACACAGCCCCTAAGAAAGTGCTTCATCTAAATATCACTGCTTTATATAAATGTGTTTGGTATTGGAATAGTCAAAAAGACCAGCGTTATCGGGCTAGCTGTTTCCAAGAATACACACCAATGTATTTGTTGTCTTTACACTCCTTGGTGTGAACAGGTCAGACCAAGACCCGTTCCCAGAATATATGCTCATTATAAGATGCAAATAATATAGAGATGCACACATTAAAAATGCTGTTTATATGGAATTGCAATATATAGATCTATAATCAATCTTTCTATGATTTATATGTAGTTATATAGAACATTGATCATATCATCAGATTGCTAAGACATTCCTTATTCCATAATGCTAATAGCTTCTAGGACAATAATTGATACATTCCAAACTAACTTCTAGAGCGAACATCCAGTACTGAGTAGGAATTCCACTTAAAAGCCTGGCTCTGGGCTCGGCACCCGTAGCTCAGCAGCTAGGGCGCCAGTCATATATACTGGAGCTGGCAGGTTCGAATCCAGCCCGGGCCTGCCAAACGACGACAACCGCAACCAAAAAATAGCCAGGCATTGTGGCAGGCGCCTGGCGTCCCAGCTACTTGGAGGGTGAGGCAAGAGAATCGCTTAAATCCAAGAGTTTGAAGTTGCTGTGAGCTGTGATGCCACAGCACCCTGCCCAGGGCGACAGCTTGAGACTTTGTCTCAAAAAAAGAAAAGAAAAGAAAAAATAAATAAAAGCCTGGCTCTGAGGACATATATTTACAGTAGGCATCAGTGTCATCCTGAAGAAGGTGGAGAGGACACTGGCGATCCATTTCAGAGAAGGACGGGATGTCCACAGCAGGACTCTGCACTCATCCATGTAAACAAGCCCCCGCAGGTGAGCTCTGACTGACACTCTCACACAGAGACCACCTTGAAAATCACATCCCGTTGTTTCACAAACCAGAAAGGCCCAAACAAGTAAAGAAACCCTTCAAATCCTGCATCCAGGGAGTACAGAGGTTGCATCCACACGGAAGGCTTCTGACTCCCCATCTCGTCTTGTCTCTACCGCATACACCACACAAGAAGGCACCGATTTGCTCCCCTAAGGCTGAGTGTCCAAAAAAGCCTCTGTCGCCTGACAGCCTCTATGCTAACAAGCACACCTCCGCACCTCCGTGGTTCTAAAGACAAAAGGTTATTAGTGGTAGATTTGTGGTGGTTTGTTGCTTTCAGAAAGTGAAGGAATGTTTAACTAAGACCTAAATGAAATTATCACTATTACTTGACAAACTAATGGTCACATAAGTTTTAAAGTTTAGAGTAAGAGAAAAATAGCCTTTGGGTTGATCAGGTACCATACACACCCACCCCATGGTGATATAGTCTTCTGTGTATCTGTGTGAGGGGGAATGGCTCACCGCCAGAGCGTTTGAGGAGACAGAACTCCAAGTCTGCTCAGCCCTGGGTGTGGGGAGCATATGTCACTTCTAGTTCTTTTCTCTCTGCCTGAGTCATGGCACAGTCACCGTAGTCTCCAAAAGAAGTGTCTATAGCCCTCCACAGCCAAGGGAAAAGGTCACCAGTGACACAGAGCTGGAGAGCTGGGGGAAGTAGGTGAAAGGGAGAAATGTCTGCCATGCAATTAAGATCTGTTCACACACTCATTCAAATTGTAAACTTTTATCCCAGGCAAACATTCCCCTGCATAGAGCTCTAATATATACTGGCATTTGACAAAGCTAACTCTAGCATTTCTGCAGCAAAGATGACTATCAAGGCATTGGACTCCACTTTCTTTTATTTTGTAAGAATTCAGCTTTCAAATGTCTTCACTTACTATGTGCCTGACTCTAAAGCTTAGAGAAATAAGTTTAGTTCTAATCAATATTTGGTAAGCAAGAATAATGACACAAATTATACGAGCTGCATTCTATTCACTATATTAAAAAATATTGTACTCTCAAGTGTTAACACATGACTTTAAAAATGACAGCTGACATCAACTCACTCCTACTATTTGCCAAGAACTGTGTTAACTATTTTCTATCAATAGCCATATTTAATCCTCACAACAACTCTATTGTATTGATGCAATTTTACATTTGGGGACACCAAGACTTGGTTTACACACCTGAGCTAAGTAAGGCCGGTGATCAGCGACAAAGCTGGAATTGAAACCCCAATCTGCACGACAACACAGACTGTGCCATCTTCTCAGATCCCAGCACACAGACCTCCAGGACTCACATTCTAAAATTTTTTAAAATTAAATTTGTAATGTAGTTATGTGTATAGTTTCGGCAGAAGTTAATTAATGAAATCGTGTGTGTGTGTGTGTGTGTGTGTGTGTGTCAAATTCTGGATCATTCCAAACTGGAATTCCCCCAGTGATAACACAAAAGAGCCTCTGATGACCCCAAAGAAGAATCATCTACTGGAAGTTTCCACAAATGCCAGCTCACTCCTTGGAGTTGAGTAAAGCAACTTGTAGATTGAGCAGAAGCAACTTACACCAGGGGATGGCTTTTTTCTTCCAGTAGCTAAAGTCTCCCTCACCCCCGATATCTAACAAATATCTGATGGCAATGACTTAACTTGAATGGAAACTTTGAACATATGTTTTTGTTGTCTTTTAAAGAAAACTGCCTAGCCCCAGCTCCTTCACCCTGAGCCACAGTGAGGATCGTGCAGCAGTGGGGCTGTTTTCTGAGTCATGGGCCTTCCCGCATTCTACCTTCCTTGTCTTTAGTTCAAAGACTCTGCTATCATTTGTTTCTTGTCGCATTTGATGCTTTTATGCAATAACCAGAACTAGGGAGTATTCCTAGATGTTTTAATTGGGCACCAAATTAAACACGTTATCAAGAGAAATGAAACTGAAAGAAGCAAATCAAGATCACAGCCCTGAGTTCTCTTCTGGGGCCACGATCACTGATAAATTATGCAATAATGCCCGAGATGATCAGCCCCGGCTACCCTTTGACCTGAAGATCCATGAAGATGGGGTGGCAAGGGTAGATGATAGGGAAGCTATTATTATTTAGAATAATAAAGCTTTCAGCTGTTATTAGAATAATTTTGCATCCTCAAGCAGGCAAACGCTAATCACATCTCTCTTACATTTTATGGAGCTCCTAAGGAAAGTCTCTTGCAAAAAGGAGAAGAGAAAGGAGGTCTGACGAATGGAACCAAACCTGCCCAGCACTCCAGTAGCTCTGTAATATTTCCTTATCCATATTAAGATGATGGCTCAGTTGTGAACAAACATTAATTACTCGGTGGTGGCTAAAGCATAGTCTGGCCAAATCAATATAAAAATAATAAGTCCAGTTACTTTTATACTTGTCACATCCCAGTCATTTCAATCAGCAAATTTAATAGAAATGAATATTTTCTTCAAAATATGCATGGCCGTTGCCTTTCACAAATTATTCACGTTAGTAAACACACAGACAGCCTTTCAGAGCGCTCTTGCTGGCCTGTTTTTGACAATATAATCTTAGCTCCCTTCTGGCTTGCCATGATGAGGTCTTGGTAACATTATCTTTTCTGACAAAGTTAATGGCTTTAATAGACTTATAAAAATTAGTTGTGTGTGTGAATTTGCCTAACTTGCAATAGGACTCTATGTGGTGCTTGGAAAACCAGGCACAGGGCGAATTATTTTTCAATTGCATCTATAGCTTCCTTTCCCCTCCTAATGACACAAGCGATCAATCTTTATCTTCCCATTCTAGTCATACGTTGTTTTCCAAAAATAAAGCCATATGCCCCCAAATCTCTGCCTTCTTTGGTAGATGAGGTCTTTCATTGACAGCAAATAATAAATTTACACTCAACCCACCTGTGGAGCTTGAATACACATAAGCCTCCCACCACCACCACCACCCCCCCACCACACAGTATTATTTCAAAGTGACATTCCCTTTTTTCCAGTGATGCAGAATAATAGTCACAAATTAACAGTTCTTTTTTTGAGGAGATGCTCAATGGATAAAAAAAGAACAAGAGAAGGGCACCTCAATTCAGATAACATGTAACAAAACCTCCAGAGCAAACCAGTTCTGAACAGACACCCTGGTGAGCTTCCCAGGACACAGAGCTGAGGAAGAGTGAACTCTCCAGTGGAACACGCCACACACTCACTCCCCTGGCTCCTGGTTAACCTGGCTGTGTTATCTGTGCCAAAATTCAGGTTTAACACAGTATCCTCCTTAGCCCCAGGGCAATTCTATTTCCAGTTCTGGCAGCCTCAGCTCTGCAAAGCATCATTATTCTCTTTAAAAAAAAAAAAAGTATAAGCTTAAATTCTGGGCCATCCGTCAGTCATAGCCTTTGATTAAAGACTTCACCCAGCCAGGAATTTTCTGTTGAAGATGCCCACATCAGTATCCGTCCCAGGGACATTGAAATGGAAGCAGAAATGATTGCATGGGTAACTTACCAGCTCCTGAGGTCTGAATGGCTGAAGCAGCCCCAATCCTTTACCTGATCCCTGCTTTCTTTGTCTCTCTCCCTCTCTCTCTCCCTCTTTCTCTTGTGTACAGATTACAAGGAACTTAAAGAACTCGCAGGGACAGTGTTTCAAATGACTTAAGAAAGAGAACAGGAACAATACTTCGTTCTCTTTTTCTCAGATGAGTACCTTCGGGAAGAAGGAAGGAAGGGAGGGGAGAGGAGGAAGTCAACAACCCTTTGCTTTCCTGAAAAAAAATAAGGAAACAGAAGATAGACATCTCATTTTCTCTTAAACAAAATGTTGGAAGGGGCAAAAAAAAAAAAAAAAAAAAAAAAATCTTTGAAAAAAGGAATTCCTCAAATATGCTCTCTGCCCTGGGAGCTTTAAAGAGATGAAAACGCCTTAGTGGCCTGTCCTGTCCAAACAAATGGTGTTCCAGCAAGGCAGGCTCTCCTGAGCTTGCAGACTCTGGTATCTGGTTTGCAGAACTGACACAGCCAAAAGGGAACAAATCATGTCCTGTCGACTCTGAGCGAGGGAAAGTTTAGCCTGCTGTGCTAACCGAGGCAAACGCACAGCCTGTAATGCAGGGCACCGAGGCCGGGCAGGCAGGACTTCTGGCTTTTCTAGGCCCTTTGAAACACCAGCGTTGCTGCAATCTCTCCACTGGTGCTAGATCCTAGAGTTTTTCTGAGACTGAATAGTAGATTTATGCCCCAGTCACTGGGCTTTATGCAATGGACCAAAGCCAGCTCCCACCTGTATCGATGGACAAAAAAGGGAAAGAAAGAACTTACCATACTTCTCCCAGACATGCTCATCTCAGAACCCTGGCTTACATGGTCCTACCTGGACATTCCTAAGGCTTCTTGGATTTAATCACCTCTGGAAAACCGGAAGGAGACTTCTCATTTGTTTTCAAATTACTGTGAAGCAGCATAGGTCTTAGATAAATCCGCCGAGTTGTCAGAAAGGGAGGAGAACATGGGAGGCCAGGGGTGGGCACGGGCTTTGCTTTGGCTTCACTGCACTTAGGAATAAGGTTGGTTTAAAATTCTCTGGTTTGTGTTGCGCGTCTCCTGCCTGTTATTCATCTGGTTAAAACCATTTTTACTATGCATAGGATCCAGCAGTTACATGGACTTTTGCGGCAGAAAAACAAAAACAAAAAAACACAGCCTTGGGTTACTTCCTTACTTCACCCCACTGTGGAGAGACATACACCTCATTGCGGAAGCCGTGAAGGTGAGTTCTGGGAAAAAATGATTCTGCTTCAGTGTCCATGGAAGACTTTTATTGGATACTATGGTCTAGAAGATTAATTTCTTTATTACAATGGTTTTCTTTCCCCTTGTCTATCTAGATATCTATCCAGTTTTCTGAATGTGTGTGCAAGTATCAGGGGAACGTAATGACATCATGGCTCAGTAGGCCATCCTAAGGGCCCGGATAGAGTCCCCTCCTTTGCATCTGCCCTGGCACCAGCACTGGCACAGCCCAGGCACGGGGGTTCTGGCAGAGGTGACCCAGCCCCGCCACAGGGGGAACACCGATGTCTGCCTTTTGCCCAAAGTCACACACAAACACTCCTCCGTCTCCTGGTTCCAGCTCCACTGCCCTTTGCCCTCTGCTGGCCTTCCTCTGTCCCTGCCTCTGTGGAAACACAAACAAAATCCAAGAAAGCCAGGGAAGAGCAGGGAGGATGGAACAGGGATGGCACGGGGGTGGCGTCTGTCAAAGGGGTAGCAATGCCGGGCCCACCTCTGAGCCACTGCTGGCTGAGCAGGCGGCAGCAGAGACCCACAGTAGAGAGGAGGCATCACCCAGAGGGTGGGGGGAGTGGGCAGCAGGGAGCGGCAGGGAGGGCTCGGCAGGGAGGGCTCAGCAGGGATGAGGTCATGTGAAGGGACAAAGCAGCTCAGATGACAACTGAGTCCTCACAGGCAGGACAGCGGCTCTCATCACCCAAAGAAAGCCTCCCAGCAACATGCAGCCCTTTCCAGATTTCTCTTCCTCTTTGCAGCCTCAGGGCATGGCCAGGGCTGAGCCCCAGGAGTCCAGTCAGAGTCCAAAGGATTTCCCTTTTAAGTCTGCAGAATGCGGGGACTGTCACGTTGAAGCCGTCTTGTTTTCTCCAGGCCAGCTGACCCACCCACGGGCCGCCTGGACGAGGGACAAGTCCCATTTCAGTCTGCATGGCTTTGATGTCGTAGGACACATCCCGCTGACCTGACAACTTCAGCTCTGCCTCGTGCCAAGCTGCTCCATTCAGATACCTCCTTGTCACCCTGTCTGGGAGACTCACAGAAAGGGTATTCCCTGTTTCCCGGCACTGCTGATCCCATGAAAGTCGCCCTCGAACACGGGTGAAAACACCCACAGGGCATCAGAGCTGAAACTAAGTCCCTCCCACTAGCTTTGGCAGGAGCGGTTTCTAGCCAGGCCCCTCCAGCCTCAGCTCTCTCCTGGCTCACCTGGATCTGACGGAGAGTGGAGGGAACAGGTGTTTGTGCTGAGCCAACTAAGGAGACGTGTTTGCAGGAGAGGAACACAGCCTGCCTGTGACTCCTCAGGAGAGTCCCACATTGCATGGCATATTATAGAGATTGAGAACCCAAAATAAGTGGCTAAGGCAAAGATCTCAGTCCATGGCAATTTATTAACCAAAGTTTGAGAGCACTCCTAGAAACAGCACAAGCCATAGAAGCATCTGTGCCCTGTGCTCTCTGAAGAGGGATTTAGGAGCTCAGTATTGAAGGTGAGAGGGCATACAGAAAGAAAAAGGGAGAATGGGGTGGGCAGTGGGGCAAATGGTTGCATTTCTACATTCTTGTAAGACACTAGTTAGTGCCCCTAAAAAATCAATGTTTTATATTAGAGAAGGTGAAAAAGAGAGTTAAGGTAGAATCACTTCTGTAGATGTCCCTGGGCAGGCGGAAGAATGAGTGATCTTGTCTCATTTCTGTTCTGCTCCTGGGAAGATAAAGTCATAATCAACATTATTAGTGTGGAATTGAACAGCCTTTGGTTTTAGGAGCTGGACTTAGCCTACAGACCTAAAGTCATCATTTACATGTCCTTGTTTATGAAAGGCCAAGGACAGATTTGCTTCTGAATAATCTATGGGGCAGTCTTTGGAGATGCCCCGGGGCCTTTTACCTTTCCCTGGTGTCTGCCTGATAAATAGTGTTAGTAATAGCTATTCATTTGGACAGGGTGCTGCATGACTCAGCCTCCAGGCCTGACTTTCCTTTTGCATAAGGCGTTGAGGAGGTTGTCCTGAAATGTTTTTTTTTAAGCAGACAGGACTGTCCTAAATTGTTTATTAGGTTATGAATTTTACCAACATTACTTATATTAGCGGTAACGGTAGAGCGGGAGAGTATTGCGTCTTCTCCAAGCTGCACGGCGGGAACCACCAATAGTGTGGTGGAACTTAGGGCCCTTTCCAAGGCCGCGGCTCTTCCGGCCTGCAGATGTCAGCCCCCGCATCTCCCTGTGCTTGTGGACTGGTTTGGTGATCCACTGGGTGTCAGGATTTCTTCTGATAGCTTTATGGAATGGATCAATGAGGATAACCTAAAAAATTTGTATGTTGAATCTTCACCAACCCAATAAGAATTCAGGACTCTTAGAGCCCCACAGTGGCGTCCAGCTCGCTCCTCAGCAACAGACTGAAGGTTTCGAGCAAACTTTAGCTGGTTTACACCATGATGCACAGGCTTGCCATAGGTTGCACCCTTAGGAACTGGGCGTTTGCGGCCAGCACGGCGCACACGAATCCTGTATATGACATAACCTTGCTTAGCCTTGTACCCCAGTCTGCGCGCTTTATCTGGCCGGGTGGGGCGGGGAGCCCTATGCAGCGCAGAGAGCTGGCGGTACTGCCAGCAGCGGACCCTCAGAAGAAAGCGCATCACATCAGACTGCTGCTTCCTCCACAGCTCCTGGATGTACTTGTATGCACCCATCTTGGCTCACCTGATGGCTGCCGCCAGACGGAAAGAACGGGCCTCTCTCCCACAATCCCTTTTGGGCTCCTCCCCCACCTCAGCGAGCCTCTTTCCAGTCTGTCCTGAAATTTTTAGTCTCCTTTACATTTCTTCCCTGTTCTTAAACATCTTTCAGAGAAAGCATTGTACGAGACACGAGTTTTTGGCTGTATGACTCATCCAATCCCACATCATTAGGAAGGCTCATCCTTAGGAGACTATGTCCCACACAGAGAAGGGAAATTAAATCAGAGAAGTACCAATGACAAATTATAGGCAAATAATAATAGCCCCAAAATAATGAACAAGGGCAGAATCTAAAGACAGTACTACTACAGTTTCTTCTGAAATATTACTCTTTTTTCTCTCTCCATTTCCTAATTTTTACCAAAGATATATCATAATAGGACCAATTTCTCTGTAAAATAATTTTTCATCTTATCATACTTGGCTTGGTGAGTTACATAAAGTGCGGTAAGAATAATTGTTGACACGTAGGATCCTTTTAAATTACCTTTGCTGGAACTTTTTCACAAGGAATCTCAGATTAGACTTCTGAGGCTAGAAAGTCAGACTGTCTACAATATTTATATGAATTAGGAAAATTCCTTTTTTCTCAAGGTCTCAAAATAACTTGGGGCTTCTAGGCCTGTCAGAAAGTGACATTCTTTACTTATCTAGAGACCGGGAAATCTTGTAAAGGACAAAGTGGCAGGCCAGTCTTTCAAATGCACTTTTTATCAGCTCTATGCAGTCCACCTTAATTCCTCAAAGCAATCTGGGCAATGTGAAAATGTGCAGTTCCAGGCTAAACCTTGGTAAAATAACCAGTGTCTCTAATTATGTCCCGTTATAAACAAAATCAGATTCGTATTGAACTTATGGAAGATGACTATATTGTCATAAATAAAGAATACTCACTACTCTGAGATATCATCTAACTCCAGTAAGCCCACATCACAAAATCTCCAAACCACAGATGGTAGTGTGCACATGGAGAAAAGGGAACACTTCGACACTGCTGGTGGGATGCAAACTAATATGTTCCTTTTGGAAAGATGTTTGGAGAACACTTAGAGATCTAAAAATAGACCCGCCACTGGATCCTATAATTCCTCTACTAGGTATATATCCAGAAGACCAAAAATCACATTATAACAAAGAT